GCTGCGGTTCCTGCCATTAATAGTCCCTGGAGTCCCTATGTGACCTAACATCATCAAACATCATCTGTGCTATAATGTTATTTTAGTTCTATTGCTGTTTTCATCATAATTCACGTTCAAATAAAAAAAGATCCCGCAACCAGAAGGAAAAAGCTGATATGTTGAGCTATTGTAAGTATACAAGTTTTGTCCATGGTCATTATCAAGATGGATGTTTTTAATGGCAGAGCCGATGGTTTGAAAAGAACTGTGATCAAACACCTGAGGTTGTCAGATGACTCGGCCTTATGGCTATTTTTAGATGGTAATTGCCCTTTTGTTACACACTGGTAAACAAAAGATGAATCCACAGCGATTATCTGGTTATGACTCTCAGCGGGAGCGCAGCCCCCAGCTCTTTCCTCTCTGACCAGCCACATGTAGTTCATTGCCTCTGCCATGTCATTAATGAAACCCCTAATTATTTCACTAAGCTGACCGCATCCCAATGTTTGATCGATGCTGGTCTCTTTTGACCTATTGATGTACTCCGTCAGTATCTACTGAACACAGGAGCAGAAAATCCTCTGTAGTGCCTCACCCCTCCAGGGACCATGTGACCACAGATATCATCCAACAGGAAGCCACTCTTGGGCTGCCCTAAGCTCAGGCAGCCAGTATGAAGGCATCTTGGAGATTATCCTGTTGATCTGGGGTAGTCTAAACACTGTATAATAATGTCTTGTCTAAACAAACAACCACGTTAGCAGGCTATGGGTGAAAAGCCATAATTTCCAAAAGCTCATTACTCTAAACAGGATGACAATTAACTCCCTTGCTCAAGAAAACTTCTCTTGGTCGTACCCCTGGTAGTAGTTTATGGACAAAACCTTAGAAGAGAACATTGTTTCTCAAAACTGAGACCATTATAACATTTTCATATGGAGTTTTTGGCCTGTATGCAGCGCCTGGAGGCTGGTTCCAGTTTATGGTTCGTTCACATGGTAGTCTTATTGACATTTGAAGCACGCACATGCCACTGCCATTTCTGGAACGTGCGCATAATAACATTTGCCTTTCAACCTCGGCATCTGCCGTGGGTTCCTGCAAGCGAGCGATGATAAAAGCGGGGTGCTGTATTCCGTCTCTGTGTCAAGTTAAAGTGGATTTCTGTCTCAGGAGATGAAGCGTCACACCCCGCTTGTTTTCTGAATGCCTTCAACTAGCAACAGTGCTGAGCTTTCTTCACCACTCCCCTTTCGGCTCTGACCTCAGCCAGCTCATCAACAGGCCTCCCTTTTATCTCTGAGGAAAACAGGTGGTTATGATTGTTAGGCAGTGTGCATATGATGAGAAAGACTCTCCCTCCATGTGTTTTCTATTTGGAATGCTGCATTTGCTAATGTGCACACTCAGGTTTGGGAGGGACGCAGCAGATATTTCTGGTCAGGCCTGCGACGCTGCTCCAAACACCACTGCCCACTCCTGCTCAGCTGTTTCGGCTCATTCCACAGGAAGGGCCATGTGCCACTTTGACTTTATTCTTTGCACACATACACATGGCTGACTGCAGTGATATGAAAATGATTGCAAAACTGTGTTATTATTATGTGATCATGTGTTATTTTGTAAAAATAATTACACAACTCCCAGTTAGGCAATAAGGACAAACAAGCCCATGGTAACAGCAACATTCTTTCCTCCTGTTACATCTGAGTTGAGCGCAGAATGACAGCTATGACAAATGTGTTATGCCCCTGACACCTCTCACTCAGGGGTGTCTGTTGAGATGAACTCCTGACTTTAGACAAACAAATGCGGTGCAACAAGGGACCTTTTTTTTGTTTGTCTGTCCCTGTTTTACTCTGCCATTTACTTCGCTGCAGTTAAATGTCAGACTGTATATGACTTGCCCACAGGGGCCGTACATGCCATTCAGAGAGTGCCTCAAACATTTGCTCATAAGCTTTGGGTGGGTAGGGAAACATCTGACAACATGCACCTCCGAGGGGAGCCGCTATCAGCAGTTATCTTGGGGCACACTGACTCCTGCCACTCCAACGACTGTGCCAAACAATGAGAAAAGTGCCAACATTAGGCTCGACTGCAGACAAATGTTTGAAGTGTGCTGGGTAACATCATCCAGTTGAGAACCCCAGTCAAAGCTCTGTGAGTGATGCAATGACTTATCAGCAAAGAACACAGGGAAAGCTCAACAACAATCCAGAGGACAGATTTCTCCCTTATCTTATCCATTCAGATAAAGAGAGGCTCCAATTGGATTAGGCTGACAGCTATGAGTGAAAACAAAGATAATTTGAAGTCATAAAAATGCCAATTATCTAAGGAGGAGAATTTTCAACACACGAGCAAGTGTGAAAGGTGATTAACTGAGCCTCAAACAACATGTGCACAATCTGAGTTTACTTTTCAGGTAGCTGCTGATCAGGTTTTTACAATTGTATTTTTGTTACTGGTGACATTTTCTCTTGTTGTTCCACTTGAAAAAAAAAAATGCAGCAATGAGGTCTGACATGTATAGATGTCCGCACGTGGTTCTTATAAGTGTCAAAGCAGTGATCTCAAAGTTTATATTTGCTCAGGACTAATCCACTCCACATATCTTCGCCGTACTCTTGGCAGGACGGGTCTGGCAGATGTCGTCTGAAAACTCTGAACCACTTTCTTTGGAATATTTTGAGTGAAATGGCTCAGGTGAAGCCAACAATGGAAAATGTCAATGCATTCCATTAGATCAGATTGGAAAGTCTGTTGTAAGCATGTCTATTTAAAATAACAATGGCTCTCGTCTTTCGCTCTGCTGACAGATGTCTGGGCTGATATATGCAGCTATGTTCAGTCGTGCTGGATTTGGCCTTCACTATACGGCTGGAGTTGCGAGGCCATTAAGTTGATAGTTGCCCAAAGAATGTCATAAATCGAAAATAACAAGTAGTGTGTCCCACAGAACAAGCCGAACTCTCTTTATGGAACATCACAAACTGAATTTGGAGCAGAGCTATTCCAAAATACAACAAACATTCTAATTACAGTCAGTCCCTATTAGTAATAAGTGCCTATCAGCACCAATTAGTAATTCATAACACGGCTTGTGGCCAGCTTCTGTCAAGCCAGATTTGTCCTGTTTCTAAAGACAGAGGCAAAGCTGGCTGGGGGCGAGTCGGCCACATGGCTAAGCCCTGACCAGGCAAGACAAAAGAAATTCTTAAGTCTTTACCCCCCCCCCAACAAAAAAAAAATTGTCAATTGTGCTGCTATCATGCCCTTCCACAAATTCACACAGGGGAATGTCATTAAAAGTAGTGACTTTGAAATGTATCGCTTGGGAAAAAAATTGTGCACACAGCCTCGAGGTATGTCAGGAGAGAACAGTGTCGAGCACAGCAACAGATTTCATACAAGCTCCGCAGCGATTCCTAATTAAAGCAAAGAGAGTTGAGCCAATTCATACACGTGAGAGATCACAGGAGGGTCTCATGTCAGCACTTTTCTTTGATCTGTATCACCATGCCCTCACACCTTGCTTCATCTTCATCCAACAAGAAACCAGAGAAAAACAAGCAGCACATTTTACACCAAGCCGTGATGGTGAATTATCACCACAGCACACTTATTCACACGTGGACATAGAGAAGGTACTTTATCAAACACAAAAAGCAGACTTTATTCTAAGCCAAGTTTTTTTTTTTTTTTTCCAATATCATGCTCAAAGAAGGCCATAAGAAGATTACTGTCTGTATCAGGGGTGCATTGAAGGGTACATTACTCCATCTTATGAATTATCTTATTTCTTTTTCCCCCTCAATTTTCATCATCTAAATTCCAGATTTACGTAGCCCTGAATTTAGAAATTACATTTCTTAAATAGCTGAGAGCATTATAAAAAGCAAACACAAATTTAAAAAACACAGCAACAAGTGGCATTCGCTGTTTTATCACAAATGCAATCTTGTTAAATGAATAGCAATAATTCTCGATCACATATATTCACGAGTTGTCGGCTCTTGCGGGTTGTGCTGCGTTTATCTTGTCCGACTGTAGGAATGATAAACTGAGGGTGATATGTCTTTTTCTGGGCCGAGGTGGGGGGGCACTGAAACGAATTGATTCAGTCGCTGCTTGTGTTTTCAGCAGCTCCAGCTCCAGGAGCGGCTTGAAAGGCTCCAGCGGCCGCGGGAGGAGGAGGAGGTGGGGGAAGAGGACACTCGGTGGCCCGGGCTCCGACTCTGGCTCCTCCCGCGGGCAGCCCCGCTTCACTCCGCCGCAGAGAGGAGGAGGAGGGGGGGGGAAAACACCGTTATCTCGCATCACTTCTTCCAACATCTCTGCCTCCGAACCCGCGTTAAATAGTTAACGGGGCAGGGAACCCGCTTGAAAAAAACCACATTCACCTCGCGGACGCGAAGTCAAGTCGCGAGGCTGAAACTTTGTGCTCTCAACCAAAGTGAGGGAGGAAAAAAGAAAGAAGACCGGAAAACGTGGCGGCTGGAGCGGGCTGGGAATGCGCCGCTACCTGACCTGCTGTGAGCCCTGCCATGCTAACATGTGGCCGCTCACGGAGAGTTAGTTTCACACGCACGCAGCCGCAGCTTTTCCACCATTAAAATAAGAATAGACGTTCAACAGCGGAGGCAGAGTTAGCGATGCGGTCAGAGGGGGGGGGGGACAATAGCGGCTTAAAACCTGCGCTCCTCCGCGTACATCTGCAAGTGACGTGAACAGCAAGTTGTCTCTAAAATGGCGACTATATCTGCACATTTTTGAAGAGAATTAAAAACTATATTTGCTTCGAGCCGGGAGGACCGTGCTCGCTGTCAGTCCGCCTGGAGTTTAACGGTACTTGCGTCCGGAGCGCGTCACTTTCTGAGGACACTTGTGCTATTTCACGTTAAGGAAACCTCGAGCAAACACACGCAGAAGTGAGGAGCAGTGGACGGGTCGTCTCTCCGGGGGGGAGACCGGACACGGCAGCCGGCGAGGATTCATCTAAAAGTACTTACAGTGAGTTGAGAGGAGAGTCAGGAGGCAAGCCAGACGTGCGTTCGCCATCTTGGAATCGATGCAATGCTCGGGTTGACTGGACCGTACATGCGCAAAGTAGCGACGCCACCGATGGAGCGAGGGAGAGAGAGGTGGGCAGGGAGTGGGAGAGAGAGAGAGAGAGAGAGAGGGAGGGAGGGAGGGGGAGGGAGTGGGTATCTATTATATTGAGTTTCCATAGCGACCGAGAGCATCACTCACTCAGACAGGACTTTATAGTTGACTCGAGGTGGGAGGCTTCTCACTGCGGTGGATTAATGCCGTTCAGATACAGGCAGCAGCTGGGGCCGCAGATAGGAAACACTCGCTGAACATTCAATTCACCTTTATTTGTCTACATACATTTCTTTCTTTCCCACACCCAGCAAACACTCTAGCGACTGAGGAGGGAAAGAAAATCACTTTTAAAGGGAAGGGTCACCCAAAAAATGAAAATCCACTCATTATCTACTCAGCACTGTGCTGATGGAGGGGTGGGTGAAGTGTGTGAGTCCACAAAACACTTTAGGAGCCTCAGGGGTGAACAGTGTTGCAGCCAGATCCAGTACAATTGAAGTAAATGGTGACTCCTTCTTCACACGTAATAAAACTGAAAAAAATAAAATAGCTCCATACTGGTGGTGTCAACTGTGTTTGTAAGCCCCAACATTCAAATTCAACTTGTCCTACATGTCTTCTGATGTCCTATACTTGAATGAAACCACAGGAGCAGTATAGAACATTTAATTTTTTTTAAATTCTCAATTTTTTTTTGCATTTGAAGAATTGGTCACCAGTTACTTAAATTGTATTGGATATTGCTGTTGACCCCTGAAACCCCAGAAGTGTTTTCGTGGACTCAAACACTTCACCCGTCCCCTCAATTGGCATAGTGAGTAGATAATGAGTGAATTTTCATTTTTGGGTGAACTATCCCTTTAACAAGAAGAAACCTCCAGAAGAGCCAGACTCAATGTGGGTGGCCATCTGCCTCGACCAGTTGGGTAGGGGGGAGCAGAGAGAGATAGACAGGGGGCAGTTGTGTAACCATATAGGTTGTGATGACAATATCAAGAGGGACATATGATAATGTTATTAATGATAGCAGCACCAGTTATGATGGTGATGATTATAATGATGATTATTAGAATTGTCTAATAGTTGAGTAGTGTCAGATCTGGATCCTGCAGTTCTGAAGTGGTACCTGCAGAATCAGAGCAAAAGAGAGCAACAGGGAGCGAGAGAGAGAGAGAGAGAGAGAGAGAGAAACTATAGCAGAGAAAAAACACCAAAGTAGTGGCATGCAGAGGGAGAGAGTGCTCCGTGCGTGGTGGGAGTTCCCTCCACGCACTGAGCCAGATGAATAAAGAAGTAGTGTATAGTCTCTTAAACAGACCACATTCACAGGATGGGAAACTGTCAAGAGGCAATATCACAGTTACTGACCTCTATGACTGAGACATTAGGTGATAAAAACTATTAGGCAATCTTACCTTTACTATAAATCAAATTGTAAGCAGTAGAGGGTTCTTGCACAACAAATAAAAATGTAATTCAGTAATTACTTCCCTTGTCATGCATGATGGGCCATTTGAATGTCCATAGAAATGTGTAATAGTTGTTGAGCTCGGTACCTTGTCAGCACTGAGACCAACATCATAGGCCACGCTAGGCTTTCAATAAAATATTCACTGGCAATTTTCACCGGCTGTAAATCACAGCCCTGTTCGGGACTGCAGGCCTGTGCATATGTCAGATCCTGGTGACAGGCGCTGCAGCCATGTCAGCTCAGAGCTTTCTTACCTTTGCAAGAACAACCGCAGCCCCGCACAGTCCCCTTCTCTGTCCACAGGCCTCTAGTCCCAGTGACATTCATTGCTTGCATCAAGCAGTTTACTCCCGTCCGAGCCTTGTTATAACTCTGCATTGACAGCTGATGCAGCCAGGAATATAAATGCTCCTCAGACCATGCCTGTGACACACTAGTCAGCCGCATCAAGCAGCTCCACAACAGGCAAAACAACGTTACCTGCATCTGTGTGCTGTAGAAACCCCTGATACCCAACACCATTTGACATGATCACACAGTGTGTATCAGTACTGCATCATCATAGACTCATAAAAGTCTAATGTGACATGATTGCAGTCCTCACCACATACTTCATTACTTACCATACCACTTACCATAGGATGTCTAAATATAGAAGGATGTCTAATTATGCCGGGATGCGTATGAATTGTGTTACATAACACATGTAAATCTGTTATTCATTTGCAGATGAGATTCTCATGTGAATCAGGTGTGGTTTTCACCACACAGTTGCCTAAAGGGGAAAATTTAAAGTTAACAGTTATTAATACCATTTTTTTAAATATTAAAACCAGGTTTTCAAAACAAATGAAATCCCAAATGAAAAGTACATCAGATGATATCTTCAGAAACACTTCCAATACCGAGATTACAAATAATTAATGAGAATGATGATGTCTTAATTCAAAATAAATAAATAAATAAATAGTTAATTAGTTAATTGATCGATCCAGTGACTGGATGTTTTCTTCCAGGTCTCACTTCTTTCTTCGAAGCATCTCACAGTTGCAGAGTTACATTAAACTGTCAAACAATCATCTTTGTGCGTTAGCGTTACACACAAGATGTGTATAAGCAGACTGTGCACACGGTGGTAGAAACTGTGATTGTAATGCTAAGCTAGATCAAGAACCATCTCTCTCTTGGAGAAAATATTAGAAATGTTCAAGAATAAGAAGTTTGACTCAGAGCAGCAGCATCAATCAGAAATGATTCTGTCCACTTAGCAGTGTGTGCATAACAAAGCAGGGTTTTGCCTGGGCTGTTCCACTTCCACCGTGGGCAGTTGATTTTTGACTGTTTCTTTCTTTCTTTCATTTATTCAAAAGCTTAACCCTCTCACTTTAAACTGATTTAAACTCATTTAAAATGAATAAAAAAGGTACCATTAAATCATTAATAACAATATTCAAACACCCTGTTAAAAATCCTCCTGTCCATCACTTTTTTGTTAAATTAAATTAGAAAAGTTAATAGTAGCAGATTTGAAACCCACCCACAGATTGGAATCTAATTTTAGGGTAGGTTACGATGAATTTAGTTGTATAATAATGAAAATCCTTTCATGTAACATAGCACACATTTGACTGACAGAGCAGACACAGTACCATGTGATTAATGTCAACACGTTTCCTGCTTCAAACAATACAAATACAGAGCGGGAATTGCATGAACATGCATTTTCCCTTGTTTTGAATTAGAGATAACCTTCATGTCTGTTCTTCATTAAAACATTGTTATACACACACACACATACACACACATATTTGTCCTTCTATCTTAGGGAGGACACTCATTGACATAATATATTCCCTAGCCCCTTACCCCAACTTTACCATCCAAACTCAATGTCTAACTCTAACCTTAATCTAATTCTCCCACAAACAGCCCATTGAAAGACTGAGGCCCTCACGGGTCTATGCTTAAAATGGTCCTCACAAAGAAGTACAGGAACACACGCTCCCCCAAAGTCTCATTGTGCGCTGAAGTTTTATTACTCGCGCTGAACACGTCCACCATCATTGTTTCTTGTAAATTCACAGACATGGTGACTGGAGCACGTCTGTGCAACTTTTTTCCTGTGTATGGAAAACCTGGTTTTACAGTGTAAAATAAATAAGAGTTAAATAAAGTGTGTGTGTTTTTTCCGGGTTATTGTGTTAAGGCAAACAGAACGGGACCATGGGGCTTTCATATACTGAGCTCCTGCAGCCTGTGGGGAGATGATGTAAAACTGAAAGAGCTGGTCTGTGTGTATGAGTTTTAAATGATGATGAAGGATTTGGAGGCAGATTCAATGAGAGACTGATTATTCTTTGTTTAGCTTAAATCTATTTCAGCTTCTTTCCTGTTCCTGCTGATGTGTTGTTGCACTACTGCCCTTTGACTGCTCCTATTATGACTTTGGAGTGTATGTGACTTTAATTGTGTTTTTTGCTCATTAATATTTATGTCATTATGCTAAGTGTGCACAGCTGCAGCGCTTGTCATGATTCTTATTTCTTGGCCGACAGTTAAGAACGCAGAGCGGAGTTTTCAATCCTGATAAAAACGACTCAGTTACATAAAACATGGGGAGCACATTTATATTCTACTCTTTGACACATTGAAACAAAAACGTCCTGCTTTCTGCTGTCTTTTTGTTGTTGTTTTTTTGTCAGGCCATTTGTTTTTTCTATTCTTTCCATTCAGCTGAGATAAGGCCCTTTGCTGGTCAGAGTCCCTGCATGGCGGGTGTAGCTCCACACACAGACAGGCCTCCCTGGATGCCAGATGGTAATATCTGATGGCATCCCAAAGGACCTGAAATTCGCCCTAGTCCTTTATTGCTGTCATGCCAAGTAAATCCTGCACCATGAACATGGCACGGCAGAACACTCGGTATACGGGCAAAATACAGTTCAGATGTACTATAAATTTCTCCCCTGAATTTATTTTAAAAAATCGATTATCCCAAAGCTTGAAGCGCAAACAGTCTATTATTGTTCAGATGAATCATAGGAGATTTATGCACCTACTCAGAAAGACTGCTGTCACCACTGCCAAATGCAGACATCCCTGCCATCAGCTCACAGTTACAAGGATGATTTTGCACTTGAAGACGGTTTTCCTCTCACTGAGTAAGTCTTTGAGGGGACTTCTTGTTTTAAACATGCATGCCGATGATAATAAATGCAGCAAAAACAAGCTCCTGAGACAGAGCTGACAGTAAGGTGACGATAGCGTGTGCTCAATGGGCTTCATTGCCTTGTGCCTAAAATTTTTACATTGCAGTGGAATGAAAGTCATTTTTCACACTAGTGTACATTACTATTTAATATGTTTTCTTCTCAAGACTGCTCTGTTTCTCACGCCCTTTTCAAGACATCATACTTGCACTGTAGCGTGTTACATTCTGCAGCAGTGTGGCAAATTTCATGTCACATGTGCCTGCCATACAATCCAACCTGCAAATGAACATGCTTCTTTACAGACGTAAATTCTCTGCATTCCTTCACTGGCTTCACCTGTTTGAGAA